AAGGGGAAAGAGAAGGGGATTTTGGTTTGGTTTTATTTTTTCCTCTCCAGAGATGACTTTTCACAACCAGACCAAAACCTTCTCTTTCTCTTACAAACACTTTTCAAATGGTGATTGAATAGATCCTGTATATTGGTACTTCAGCTCCCTGATGTCTCTTTGGGGGCTTGTGAGTAAAGTTCCATGGGTTCATGAAGCAGATGTTTAATGATCACACTCATTTTTCTGTTGTTGTTTTCACAGAACTCACAAAGAACATGGCATAAATGTCCTTAGAAATGAGCGGGTCAGGAAAGAGCCTGTTCTTTTAAAAAGCTGTGTGGAGGTTATGTAGTTTTGTTTTTTAACTTACAGATCTGCTCCTGTTCCATAGATAGAGTATTTGACTTCTCCCCAAAGCCCTGAATCTGGATCTGTAGCCTAAAGAAAAGAAGAGAGTCATCCTTTACTCAACTGCAAAAAGAAATTCATAATTTTACTTTTAACAACAGGTCATGTAAAAACCCAAATGCTTTTCCCTCTTTGTGCCACCACAAAGGAAACCACATAAACAAATATGCACCTAGAAAACTGCAAAATCTAACACAAGGGAATGTCACTGGCTGTCCAGGGAAGCTGCTAAGATGCCACCTTGTCTCCTGGCCAGGCTGGTGCCCTGAGGCTCCAGCAGGGAGAAAGCCACTAGATGGCTCCATCCTTTGACATTTTACACATCCTTTACCAGAGATGAGGCTAGTCTCAACGACACAGAGTGCCTGCTCTCAACCCTTCCTAATAATCAGTTAAATATTAATGTCTATTCCCTAGACAAAATTATTTACTTTCCATGGAGTATTTTCTTTAAGCTCCTGCTTGTTTAATCGATTCAATTTAAAGTAATGCATAACAACTGTTTCAAGCTATACACAATATTTTAGTGTTGTATTTTAATCACTGTGTGACTTTTAGTAATACAGGTATTAGAGCAGATGATATCTTTGCTCTGGACTTCCTGACTTCCTCTCTTAGCTCAGGGTTAGGAAAGCTGTTGATTTGGTAGCAGCCACTTCCATAAGCTCCTGCTTTTCTAGGTGGCTCTGAGGAAGTGTTGTATTATAACCATTGTGTTTGGCCACCAAAATTCATGGCAGCAGTGGCTGATTCATTCATCTTCCTGTTTAAATATCTGAAAACTGGAATGTTGTCTTTGATTCCTGCATGGTTAAGATAACACACCTGCAGCCCTACTGATAGGTGTCCAATTCCACTTGGTCATAACTGGATCTTCCTGCTGGACACTGATTTCATAGAATCATAGAATCCTTTAGGTTGGAAGGGACCTCCAAGATCATCAAGTCCAACCACTGAGCCATTAGGGCTCTAAAGTCCTCTGCTAAATTTGACTAAAGCTTTCTTAGCACTCACAGACCATGTGATTTGTCTTAAAAGCAGCTGATCTTCAATGAAAAAGCAAAGTAAATTTGTTGTTCTGACAAACGTTTGCCTAAAGCTTTACTGTTGCAGAAGTGGTTTTGTTCAGCTGATTCTGGAAAGGAACTGGAGCAAGTAAAATTTGGTACTTGCCTCTGGCCGCTGGTTTTAAGGTACTTGAAATGCTCTCTTTTCTAGCTGTCTGTGGAGACATTTCTCAAGAGAAGAATGATACTTACTGTGACAGCAACTACATTTGAGCCCCCCGGGGAGTTCTCGGGGATCCTGGCAATGTAGTAGTCAGAGGAGAACTTTGGGACATTGTCATTGGTGTCCAGTAAGCGTATCACCACGTCAGCTGTCGAGCTGAATTTCTCCGGTGTGTTCACCTCGATGGCAAGGAGCTAAGAAGAGAAAACCAGGAAATGACTACAAAGCAGCTATTGTTACTTCTTAAAAGAGCTTCCTCCCACTACCCACGGCATGTTGGTTCATTTTAGTGTGGTTGGACCAGACAGGTCAACCCGGGAGCTGACAGGTTGAGAGGGAGATGATGAGCTAGGTCACTGTGCAGCCTAGGTTGATTGTGCATGCTTCAGTGGACAATCAAGCTGTGCAAAGATGACTTCAAACCTGTATATACATATTAGACTTCACACGGCAGGTGTAAGTGGTTGTAACTAACCAAAACAGCTTGAAAACCCATAACAGAAGCAAGCAAACACCCATCCCTGGGTAGCTCCTAGAACTTAGGGAAAACGAAGCACCAACTCATTTTGAATAATCCCATAAATTGAATCATGATCCTTTGCAGAGGAAGCCTAAATTGTTCATCAGGAAAGAAGCTAGGGCAATAAACTGCACCAAAGAGAGCAAAGAGATGACAGAACCAGACTTGGGATGTCTAGAAGCAGCAGTACCCCCACTTCAAATGCAGGGATCAGGCAGAATCCTGTTCCATGAAGTTTGTGAGTGCACACCAGTGAACACCACTGTGTGCCTACCCCACCCATCAGCTGAGGGGTGGAGCTGCTGGTTAGCAGCTGGTTTCTCCCATTGCTCCTCAACGCCCAGCTAAGCCATGCAGGGAAGAGCAGCCACCCCAGAGAATCAAAAGGACAACCCAGCTGTCTGCTGCACGGCAGTGCTCAGTGGGCAGCAGGCAGCTCTCAGATCCCCACCTGGGAACAGACCTGAGCAAGGGTTTGGTGAGTCACCTCCAAAGCCTCAGACAAGCACTTTTCCACAGGACTTCAGCTACTTAGCATTAAATGTGTTCTCTCTTACATCTAGTCTAACACAAAACAGCAGCAGTGTTTTTACTGCATCCTGTTTGTTCTTCAGTAGATCAGGGGAACGTCACCAGGAAGGCTGAGCTGGTAGAGCAGCAAGTTATTGCCTGGGTGGTGTGTGACTGAGCAAGAACAGTTTCACCAACAGGTATGACAACAACAGCCCTTCACAGCCTCAAGCCCATGTCTGGTCCCTGTTGGGTGGCTGCATCACACAGAATCAGCACCAGGACATCAGTCTTGGGCTTTGTAGAGGCTGAATCCAAACAACTAACACAAAGACCAATAGTCAACCATTTGTTTTTCATGCTTGGGCACAGACATAGCTAACACAAAGCAGAAGGACTCTAGAAACCTACTGAGGACAGCACACCACTAATAGATGAGTGAGCAGAAGATGAGTGAGCAGAACATTTAACTGAAATATGAGAGGCTCAACTCAAAAACCCATCTGCATGGGGTTTAATTCCCAGTAGACACATGTCCCAGGAGCTCCTTCAAGGAGGGGGAGTGCCTAAGTGAGCTTTGAGCATTGGAGGTGGAGCAGGGCTGCCCCAGCATCTCCTGCTCCATCGGTGCAGCACCTCAGTGAGATGTGGGCTGGGGGAGCTCATCCTTCCCACGCTGCTTGCCAGGCCCTGCTGCCACGTCACAGTTCCCTGGGGGACAGGCAGTATGTGGAGCTCTAAAAGGGGAGTTTGGTCACTGCATCTCTGTGCTAACTACTGTGTTTGGGAGTCTTGGATGGTGTTATGGAAAAGGAAATTTTTGAAGGGACAGTCCTTCAGACATCAGTAGAAACCTGCTTGTGAGCAATCTCAGCTCCTAAAGAAGCACAAAGGTAAAATCTTACTGCTTCTGCACGTGGAGCTACAACTAAATTACATCTGCAGTGAAATAATCTTTGGTGTTGGAATCAGCCCACCTTAGAACACCTTAAGAGAGCTTAGTATTTTCCTGTTCTTTACATTCATTTTTTTATTCCCTCTCCTTTTAGCAGCCACAGTCCAGCTATGTCAACGTGCTGACAACATCTTCCTTCAGGGGATGATTTTTGTCAGCTTACTTGTCTGCAATGCCTGATGCAGAGCTGGATTGTTTGGCTTATGCAGAGAGAGGGAAAAATCAGCATAAAACGTCAGAGGACTATGTATCAACAATTAACACAAGTGCCAGGACAGCAAACTGAGATATAATTGTAAAAGTAGCAGGTATATTTTTAAAACAGAGTTTGATTTTGGCAACTGAAGATAATTGCATTCTCTTGGACAGCTGAAAATGAAGGAGGTCCTGACTATCAACTACATTTAAGAGCCAGCCCTAAATAGAAAAGAGATTTATTTTTTCTAGTAGCCTTTGCTTCAGATAGTTTTTCAGTGCAGCTCCCAGTCAAATTAGCTTTAATTCCTCTCTCACATTTTACTGTTCAATACAAAACAGAGGAGAGGGATCAGTGCTTATAGAAAAAACACCCTGAAAATAGTTTCACAAAGCTTCTGTGGGATAAATGTTAGAAATAAGAATCTAAAATTCTAACCAGAATGACTCCATTGACAACTAAAATGTGTAGGAAGCCATTTGAACCTTTCAGGGAAATGGAGATGACCATGAGGTCTTTATAAAACATATTTGCTGTCACACAGTATTATTACATCACCCAGCCGTGCCTTCTTCATTTGAAATCTTGGCAAAGGTTCTATGTTTTTAGCAAAGCCTCGTGGTCTTTATTCAGTAGAAACAATTTCATTAAAAAAAAAAAATGAAGCACTGCTTAAGCTAAATATCTGTCTCTCTATCTATCTCCTTTTTTCTGGTAATTAATTCTTCTGGTGCTCGTGACAGTCACATTAACTACTTGGATTTCTATTAGTATTCATGAGGAGGCCATGTGTAACTTCTTTACTGGTCTTTTGGTAGTTTAACCTGAATAAATGTGTGCTTATTATAATTAGTTTCTGTAGCACTTTACAGTCCTTTCAGAATCTTCCATTTTAGTACAGCAATGATGCCTCATAGTTTTGTAGCATCTATGACCTATGAAGCTCAAAATGACTAAAGAGCATTACAAGAGGAGATATGAAGCATTCTGCAGTGAAACTTGCTAAAGACTCAAAGGAAACCATGTCACAAGGGTGAGAACAAAATCCAGAAACCCACCACTCTCTGTACAAATCAAACCTAGCATTATGCTAGTACTTGGCTGGACAGTTTTGGAAAGTTTTTAGAAATTATTATTGTAATGATTACAGGGATTGTCTACACCATTCTTTGCAGTCAGAACTAAACCATCCATACTCATGTTCAGAGGCAGCTGGCACAAAAATGGATTGCTTAATTCTCTTGTTGATGAGCCAATGAATCCATCAGGGAAGGTGATAATGCAAGGGTCCAGCTTTTGGATGAAAGCTGGTTCTTGATGGCTGGCTTAGAGCATGGCTGAGAGAGCCTCAGGTCAGCCTGCAAAAGGCCATATAGGTAGATAAACTTTGACAAAGGCAGTGAGCAATTTTTGGAAATTACCTTCCAGTCAGCTGGGGTCTTCAGTCTGCCAACATTCAACAGCATGATCGTGAACCAAATTACTTAGGACTAAGCAGGTAAAGTTCTGGCCCCAGAGAAATCAGAATTTCATCCTGTGAATTATTATTGTAAGAGCAAAAATAACACCCTTAGGGTTCAGTCTAGGATGGCTCAGAGCTACCAACATGTGCAGTTTCCACAGAGAGAAAATGCTCAACGTTTTCCACTGACTGGACTAAATCAGTTCACAGATGCATCCATTAAACCTTTGGGAGTTCAGGAACCAGAGGCAGAACTTAGTTTCCCTTACACAGAATATAATGCCACTGACAATGCATCAGACAGCTCCAGGTGGATTAAGAACCTAAATCCCATCAGATATTTAAGCCATCCTACACACACCATATGCACAGAAAGAGAGGACCCAGAAAACAGAAGTACCTTGAAGGTTAACACCTTGAATTTTTCATAGTCAATAGCAGCAGAGTTTTCCACAATTATTGTAACCTGAGCCTCATTCAGGACAGTTTGGGGAACCACTCGGAAGATGCCACCAGGTCCAACAAGACGGAGATTGAATTTAGCATTGGCCCCCTGGGAATAGAAGCAGATAGAGCATTGTTTCCAGTGACTGATGCATTTCTCACAGCCTAGATTGGCTCTGTTTCTTCACATTATATAAAATTAGAATGAGTCTTAGTGCCTAGAGCCCTCTGCTCTCCATCCCCTGGGCAAGAGACTGCTAAGAAGCTTAGTTCTATAATCCCTCCAGCCTTGGTCACAGGATGGACACAGCTTTTCTTAAAATAGATTGACAAGCTTGGTTATTCTTTCAGTGAGAATGGAAAAACCCCACAGCAAGACTGGCTAGGAGAGGGACTTTTGTGGCAAGTGGTTTTGGGATTCACACCACACAGTGTGGATAGTGCAGGTGACAGAGATGACATCAGGTGCACGTTGGCAGGCAACTCCTCCTCCTGCTTCCTGCCAAGGAAAGACAACTGAATTGCCCAGGTCAGGACAATGGACCCCTCAGAAACACAACCTTTGTCCTAAGAGCTTGTAGCCTGGGATGGTGATACAGAGACACAAAGATGGATTATTCCCAAACAGGTGCTACTCTACTGTTAGCACTGACTTAATTAAGCTAGCCCAGAGTTGCAGCCACTATATATTTTGGAAGTGAATGTACTTGGGGAGAGAGAGATGAGCTCCACTTGTGCACAATAAAACCTGACACACATGTGACAGCTCCAGGGAAAGGGAGAAGCCAAATTCCATAATATAGATAAACCTTCTAGCCAGAGAGGACCTGAGAAGCAGCAGGATCTGAAAGGTTACCACCACCTGCATGAGAGTGGGGAAGGGTCAGCCACAGCCAGCTGGCCAGACCAATTCTTTTAAACCAAATTGGAGCATGGAAGAGAAAGATTAAATGGGGATTCTCATATTTCTGCCTTACAGGGCAGGTGGGAAAATGAGCTTAGCCTACTTCAGCTCTCTGAGTTCACCAATTTCTGTGTGACATTTTTACTGTGACTAACCAGCCAGACCCACCAACTGGTGGGTGCCATGTTCTCCCCCTAGCATGAATCTTGAGATTGAAGAATTTCTAACAGTAATTTTCAAACAGGATAACTCTACTTTCAGTTGTAGCCCTGGAGGGCTTGTTATGAGCAGTTCTTGCTACAACTCTAGCTCATGTCAAGAAGAAAAGTATTCAGCAGTAGCCCCTCAAGGGTAACAGAATGATCAGGGATTCAAATGCAGTGGTCTGTGCTGTTTGGCCATCCAAACCCCTACAGCTACAGAGATGATGAGAGGCTCTCTTTTGATGGGTGGTAAAGCCAAACACACAAAGCCAGAGCTGCTGAACTATGGAAAACAGTGATGATGGGGAAAGTGGAGCAGCTGACCACACTAAGCCTTCTGTGCTTGGAACTGTACGTGACTGGAGGGATGGTGACATGGAGCAGGGAGAGAACTGCCTCCCTCCAGTAGCTGAGTGACTTCTGACAGTGATGTCTACCAAACCCAGATCTGCTTCCTGCAGCAAACCATGCTGCTGTGTGTCTCCAAGCAGACAGCCACGGGACACAGGACTGCCTGAAGGAACAACAGCACTGAGCCCTAAGCTGTGTCTGTCAGACGAAGAGGGCTTAGGGACACATTTCTGCACACTTGCAGAATATTCTTACAAGTACAGATGGCATTTCCATCAAACTGCAGGCCTAAAACATGCCATTCTGTGCTTTAAAGAAAAGCAACCCAACCCCCACAGAGCGATGCCTTGCACTGTACTAGGAAGCTTCTTGAGAAATCTGTATGGTGTTTTTAGCAATTTTTTCTGCTTGTTTTATAGCCTAACTTGCAGCCTGAATATTTTGTCAGCCTACGTATGATATTTATATATCTAGTCTCTAAATAGAAGAGATGTGCTTTGTTCCTTTCCTTCTGCAGCAACATCCCCCCTGACAATAGCAGGATAGATGTAGCACTGCTTTGAAGGCAGTCATTTATCTGCTTGCTGCAGAGCAGCAGGAGGGAGGGGAAGAAGCTGGTGGGTTTGACAGAGTACAATGCAGTCAAAACAGCACAATCCTGAGCACAGCTATACAAGAGCACTCCTTCCAACAGCAGTGCAGGTCTCAGATGCATCACGCTTCTCTTTTGTCACTACCTAACCTCAGGCTAGCTCAGATGGATGCCATTCATATAGTATTTAGCTTAGATATCCCTATAGCAACCATCACCATAGTATCTATGGGCATCACAGGTCAGTTAGGTACCAAGCTGAGATGGATGGAGTCTTCTTTTCCTTTATCTGGTTAGAGTTAGCTTGGTTCTGGCATAATTTTGAAGATTACCTAAAAATACTGCTCCAGTGGGAATAATTTATCAAAGCATGCACTGCAGATTCTGGCTGTAACTCAAGGGCCAGGAGGATAATATATTGTAATAAAACCAATGTAAGTGTACCAGTGGTATTGTTTCCAGCAGGGGCTGGGAAGATAGAGACAAAAAATGGTGCTTGAAGTTACTAAATGGATTGGAAACTCTAAGTAAACCTCCAAAGGCAGCACATCCTTGGACCTTACACTGACAGCAGCTGACTGTAAACAGTAGTTATGGGAAGTTCATTAGGACTGTTCAACTTTGGTCACCACAAGAGCTGGGCTGCAGATTTTGGACCATCCTTCTCATTGACATAACAGTACATGGCACACCAAATGTACTTCTGGGTCCAAACTCGCTGTCACAATGGACCCTACAGCTACTTTGTCTGCCCTAGGCTTTGGGGGAATGCAGGTGAAATAGTAGAGTTCCTAAAATGACATTTCCCCACCTGACAGCTCTTTCTAGTCTTTGGGAAAACAGGGCAGGCAAACTGGAAGTCCATATAGTTTCCACTTACCTGATCTGAGTCATTGACTGTAATCTTCAATCCCCTCAAGATCTCACCCTCTGGGGGATGCTCATACATGGTCAGTTCAAATCTGTTCTGGGGACCATTTTCTCCATAGAATGTTGGTGGATGGTTGTTGAGGTCGACCACACGTATCGTCACCATGGCAAACGTGTACACTGAGAGGTCACCTTCCTGACCGACTTCTGATGCCTGCAGCAGGCAGGAGAGAGAAAAGAATGAGGAGGGTGTACTCTCTTTCCTCAGTTCCATATTCAGGTGTTGTTCTGCACGTACAAATCAACCTATACCCACTAACTCATACAAAGATTCACAGCCTTGTGTTTCTCCAGAAGTCCCAGTCCATTTCACACCGACGTTTATGATGATTAGAGGATGGTGGTAATAAACCAGTCCCAATAAAGCCCCAGGGAAAAAAATCCTTTTCATTTTGTAAGCTTAATAACTCACCCTAGATGAAAGCAGTTCCCTAAAGACAAATAATCTGATAGAGGCAAGATAATTGCTTGCCTAAAATGTTGACAGAATAGAAAAGGAAGACAATCATCAAATTTGCTGTGGTGCCACAGGTAGCTGATTTTCACATTGCTGCAAGGACTGTAGCCTTGAAAACTCTGTGAGAAAAACTGTACTTAGGGTATTTAGGCAAATATTTGAAAAAGGAAAAATTACAGGGTTTTTTTGTTTTATTTTTTTAGATTTAGTCTCTGATATACAAGTCTGCTTTGCTGTCTAGATGAGCTTAATTTAAACTGGATATTGTTTGGATAGACAAGCAAACCTAGTTGTCATTTTTCTTCACTGAAAGATCAAATTTGCCTGAGTTTCAACATTTCAACATGCAGCCTGATTCGCTGGCTTGAACCTAAAATGTTTCCTCTGTCAGGATGGAAACTCCAGCTGGTGTTTTTGCAACAAAACAGCTCTCTCTAATGTGTTATTGTGCTCAAAGGGCTCAAAATTAAAAGCACTAGACTGCTAAATTTCTCTGCAGATGATAGTGTGGTTACCCAAGGCACCTCTCACTACCTGTGCTGGGTAACACAACACCCTTTTGGCTGCTCAGGCAGATTTGGTAGCCTGTGTGAGAGCCAGGTCACCACAGACATGACCAGGAGATCAGAAAAGCTTGCGAGGGCTTAACTGACCCTCTCTCTGGGAAGCACTAGCAGACTGCAGCAAACCAGAGAGATTAGGTGAAGAAATGGTGCCTGAGTTTAACTCAGACAAGAGGAACTCTGTGATCTGCCAGGTTCAGCAAGCTGCTGGAAACAACTCTCTACATACTGTAAAGGATGTTGATTCTTTAGACTCAGAGATGAAATTAGAACAAGATCGTTTCCTTTGGAAGAAGTAATTTGAGACACAAAATATCCCAAGGAACAGAAGAACTCTATATTTAGCACTCTGCTCAAATATAGGAGGTACTTTATAAAACAGGTAAAGTCAGTTGTAAACTGAGCTGTTTTAGAAAAATCATGAATTTTATTTCTTTATTTTTAATCATTTTTTTTTCCAGAAAATCGTGGCATTTAAGACCACCAGCCTTCAAGTGATCAGAGAACATACCTGAACTTTTAGTTCATACACTTCTTTCTTGAGCTGATTTGGGCTTTTTATAACAGAAATGGCTCCAGTTGTGTTGTTGATTTCAAATGAACCTTCACTTCCTGCAATAAAACCAAGATGCTGTCGTTACATGCCACATTTCCTTCTTCTGAACAAGCATGAGCAACCAGCCATACACTTCATTGAGCATCTTTGTCCATACGTGGATCCATCTCTATGAGCAGATCTAAAGCTGCTTTTCAAAAACAAAGCATTGCTATGACTGGTCACAGTGAGCTGAAAAATGCAGATGAGTGCCAAAAAGTGTTTCCTCCCCTAGGAATGCCTCAGCAGAGCTCTGCCCCTATAGGCAGGTGCCCTCACTTTCCTCTCCCCACCTTGACCAGGTTCCCTACAAGCCTCAGCAACCAGGTATCCACATATGGTATTCACTGCCATGATGCTGTCTTCTTTAAATGCTGCTTTAGACAAAAATAGACATTCCTCATTTTAATTAGCAAATGCATAATTAAGAACATTTCTCTCACTAATATTGGCTAAGGTGAGAAGTCTGACAATCTGTCCAAAAGAAATATAGTCACTCTTTCCTGAGACAGGCTGAACAAAAGGGGATTTGGGAGGATCTGGGGTAAACCCCAGGCTTTTTGCACTGAGGCATGGCAGCACAGGCAGGGCAGAGCTGCAGACTGCCTTTGCTACCACTGATCTGAACAGAAAATCAGTTGCAGGGCCACAGTCCCTCAAGCCTGATGAATGTGTCCTGAAGCAAATCCCAGCTTGCAGAGAGGCGGCCGTGTCTCATCGAAACGTCTGCACCCATTTTGCCACCCTGGCCAAAAGCAGGCTGGTGCCCAGGCAGGGGGGCAGCTGGCAGCTCAGGTGGTCCTGCCCTGCCCTGCCCAGGGCCTGTGGGCACCCCTGCCTGCTATCTCACCTACAGTCTTTCCCACAGCCTAAGCTTTGTGTTTAGAGCCTACCATGGGAAGGATGAGAGGAAAATCCTTACAATGGAGGAAACGAAGCCTTCAGAAATAAAGGATGACAACCTAAAAGCCCAGTCGTTTTTCTTTTTGTCTAACTCAATTCCAATCCTGGTTTTTAAACCATCTGATAGTTTCCTGTTTTGCTAATACCTGCACTAACTGCAGCTTCATTAAAGCCTGCCAGACACAACACTGAACAGACATCGACCCAGGCAATGGTCAATTATTAAGATACATTGACTGCAAAAGAACATCCTGACTGAGAAGCAGGTTAAGTCAATAGTTTCTAGCCACCAGACTTCATGTTATTGTCTAATTATCACAGGGAAATTGGCACGTCAGAGTATGCAGTGTTATGTGTGTTCCTCTGTACAGCATCTTCAGAGAGCTGGAGCATTTTCTAAAATTATGCTACACTCACCAGATTAAAAAAGGAAAAAACCTCACACTCAGAAAGAATCAATGACTTCCTATTTCCTGTTAGTATTTTCTTGCCCTTTAACAACCCATCCTGCAGGTACTGGAATAATGGCTCGTCGTGAGTAATGCCAGAGTCTGAGTTACAGTGGAAGGAACCTGTTGTAATCTTTTGTTCTCTATCTATTTCTTAACTTTCTATGCACTAAGAGCACATTCTTTTCCCTTCTTTTCCATTTCATGCTAACACAATCCTGTATTAATGTGCATGAGGAAAGCCTGCTCTCCATTAAGTCATACTTTGTGCTACTTACCTGTCATCCACTTCAATCTTAATTTTCCACTCTAAAAAATAATCACTTAACTTTTTTTATCCCATAGCACCTTTTTGGTCCTCTTGTATTTTCTTTGGAAATCTAATATCTTTCCTCATTACTCCTAATTCCCTTTGACATTTTCCCTAGTTCATCTGTCTTTGCTTATTCTTCACACTCAATTTCTCCCTTGTCTAGCATATTTTTTTTCCCACTTATTTGTTTTTACTCCTCATTCTTCACCTTTCTTTTCACCTTTTCTCATTTTCTGTCTCTTCTGCAAGCTTTTTTTCCCCCCTCTTTGTTTCTACCTTCCTATTACCCTCTTTTATTTATTCCCTTACACTGAAGAGAAGGAACCTCAGCATGGGTCCCACCCCACATCAAGAGGGATGGGACTCCAATTGCAACCCTCTCTGCCCTCTAGACCTTGATTTTAGATCACATAACACAATAAATAACTTACTGCATAGCTCTACAACTACACCTCAGGTTTCTCTGATGAAATTTTGGGCTATCTCACACCTGGGTGTAGTCTTGTTTTGGAGGAAGAGAACCAAACAAAACTAAATTTGTAGCTTGGAGTTTAGTTGAGCTAAGTTATTGACTTCACCAGTAATGAATCATCAATGCAGCTAAGTCTCACATTTATGCTATTAAAAGATGTGTGACAGACACTCTCAGAATAGCTGATGAAAAGCATTAATCTTCTGATAACATCTACTCTCTTCCAGTGGAGTTTACAGCCAGTGGCTCTTCACTGGGAAATATAATTTCTTCCAGGAAATCAGAAGTTTGACCCTTGAGCCACTTTAATCACAATATTAATAAAAGTATCCCTCTAAATACCATGTCTGGGTCTCCCAATTCATTCTCCGGCCTCTCAGATTAAATGATAGAGATGCTTGATGGCAGTGAATGCACCTCCCTTTATGCTCTCCAAAATGACAAGCATGCTACTGATGCCTAACAAATCAGCAGCATTAACAACTCCAAGCCCAGTTCTGTGAAGCAGATACTAAAACTCAGTGAACTGTATCATGGCTGTTCTGTGGCAGACAGGGTCCTGGCATTGTTCAAGGTACCTGACATTATTTCAGGAGAGCTTGTCTCAGCTTTATTAAACTCTGGCATATCCCATTCTAATTTAATGTCAGATCTAGTTTGGGTTGCCCTTCAGATTTCACACAGGACAGGTCTACTCACCATTCACGATGCAGTAATGAATGCTGTTAGGCTTTCCTCTGTCTCCATCAAGAGCAACAACAGTAAGGACCTCAGAGCCCTGGGGGGAAATGGGAAATCACAGTCTGCGTGCTGAGATCAAAGAGCAGTGAAATTGCAACTGCATATCCATAAACTGAACTTCTGTAGGTCTTTCTGCAGCAGGGTGTAGGGGGGAGAGTGGCTGCGTTTGCTTCTGCTCGATGGGGAATGCAGCAAGGGCCCCTGACTTCCTCCCAGAAAAACTCAGTGCGTGGCTTTGCAGAGTAGGAGCAGAATGCTGCTCCTCAGACCAACTCTGGGATGGGTTGCCCAGGGAGGGGGTTGAGGCCCCATCCCTGGGGGTCTTTAAGGCCAGGCTGGAGGAGGCTCTGGGCAGCCTGATCTAGTGGGAGGTGTCCCTGCTCATGGCAGAGGGGTTGGAACTGGGGGATCCTTGTGGTCCCTTCCAACCCTGACAGATTCTGATCTGTTTTAGCAGAGGACTTTAGAGCCCTAATGGCTCAAGGGTTGGACTTGATGATCTTGGAGGTCCCTTCCAACCTAAAGGATTCCATGATTCTGTGTCGTTCCTAGATGGAGAGTTTTAGGTGTTCCCAGTGCTGCTGCAGCTGATGCACTGTACCTCCATTGAAAGTGGGGACATCTCCACCACTGCTCACTCCCCATGGAGCCACTGTGCAACCTGCCCTCACCAGCTCACTGCCAGTGCCCCACCACCTCCACCAATGGCACAGCAACCTGCTTTGGTGGGTCTGCCTCAGTAGTCCCAGGAGGGCCAGGGCTTGCTGCAAGCCTGATGCACTGATTGAAAGTGGGGACATCTCCACTATGCTCACTCCCCATGGAGCCACTGTGCAACCTGCCCTCACCAGCTCGCTGCCAGTGCCACGCCACCACCTCCACCAATGGCACAGCAACCTGCTTTGGTGGGTCTGCCTCAGTAGTCCCAGGAGGGCCAGGGCTTGCTGCAAGCCTTGGAGAATCCCCTGCAGCTGGCCAAGAGGCCAGTGCCAGTTTGCCCAGTTCTCCTGTCCTTTTTCCCAGCTTAGCTTTGGGGGAGCACCAGAGGACAAGCAGGAACATGGCACTACTCCCCACGGACTGCTCTGTGCCCACTGCTGTGGCAGTGCCCGTGGCACAGCTGTGAAACCCCTGCAGACCTCGTGTGCCCGTGGGTATCTCAGACCCAGGGGCTGGCTGGCTGCAGGAACAGATGGAAGCCGTGGCCAGGGACATCTCCTTTGAGCCACAGACCTGGACAGAGGATTTGGAGTAACCAATCTGAGACCCGAGGCTGAGTTTTGGTCACTCTCAAGAAGCCCTCTGGCAGCTGCTGTGTGGGCTTCCTGGCCTTGCTGTGTGTCCCAGGGCCACACAGTGTGCTGAGACACAGGCAGCTGCTGAGAATTCATCAGGTCATTTTGGTCCTACCGAATTAAGTTCAGATGGGCAGCAAGAGCAAACAGAGATCACAAAGCAACTTGGCCCACAGAACATCTAGGGCATAAAATTGTGATGAAAATTATAGTGATTTAACTGTCCTTAAACCTTCACTGCCTTTCTTTCTGTGCAAGTGACGTGGCCGTGGGCCACACGTCCAGAACTTGTGTCCTGGAGACCATTTGCTCATGTGACTGCTCCTATCAACTCAGAGGCATGATGACTGTCAGCATTAAAATGCTCACCCAAATGGCAACGAGCTGTGCAATTTAGGCCTCTGAACTACAGTTTTCCTGTCTGGGGCTGCAGAAGCAAGGAACATTGAATTAACTGTCAGCTAATCACAAATGGAAACAAGGAATATTTTCATGACAAGCCTTGAGTGAATTTTTCAAACGAGCAAGTCTCTGTTAGAGCAACTGGAAGTACAGAATTGTGTTTATTATTACTTATGCTGAAAGCTGCAGTAAAATCTGCCCACGGGGCAAAATGCAGTGCAGTCCCTTTGAAGGTGACAGAGTATTCATAAATGCTGACGACTCCACCAAGGAGAAAAGAAGTAAGTTTACAAAATTAACATCAAATATGTAAACAACACTCAAATCAGCTAGAGCCTCTCTCTCTGTGGAGTCCATTCTAACAGCCAGACCCACGCTGTGAATGACCGACTCGTGCTTTCATCATTATAATATCATAATGGTGTGAGTTATGAGCTCAAGCTGGATGTAATTAACATTTATCTACTCCCATTTACACAGTAAACACTCACTCCTGTGTGCACCTGATAGCTATTTCAAGATCTATATGTATTCATGCAGAATAAATCGACGTACATAACATCACTCATTCCAAACATCTGCAAAGTACACAAGTGTTACTTCTCTGCCCTGCTGGAGTGTAGCAGCCTGTGGAGCACACAGCCATGCAAGAGCTGCAGTGTACACTGGAGTTCTCAGCAGCAAGTAAAGCCACCATCTCTCCTAAAACTCAAGGGGAGATCAGGTGAAGAGTGTGCAGTCACACTGACAAAGAGATCAGCAGTCTAATGTTGGGTGATTTCATGAGCAGATAGCTTTTCTCATCCTATGTATGAAGAAAATTATAGTTAAATCTCAGGGTATCAGGGTGAAAGCTCATCCACACACAGTAACATGCCACTGCTTAGATAGAGAGAAAATTCATTAGCTTGCAGCTTCAAGAATAAGAACATCTTGCTGAAAGCATTGTGGTGGATATAACTACTAATTTGCTAAGCTGTATACTCCCTTTTAAACAAATCTGCCATTAGGCATTTCTGAGGTGCTGGCACAGCCAGGAGCTCAGTGCACACCCTGGTTCTGTGTCTGGGATAGATCCAAAGCTGTACAACCAGCAGCAGACACGTGCTGACAGATGCAGTGTCCCTGTTGGACTGATAATCTGGTGGGTTTTAGGCAGGGTCCATTCTGCCTATCTGTCCATCACTGAGCAGAAGGTATCCTGCATTTTGGGGATGTCAGGATTGCTTCTCCTCAGGTGATGTTCATGGGACAGCACAAAATGTCTACAGCATTTGGACAAAGATTCTCCCCATGCCTTGCACAACCAGCAGTCATGCTAGATCTGCTAGAAAATAACAGCACTGTGACACCACACAGCACACAAAGACACAAAGGCTTCCAGCAAGATGTGTTCTGGTGAGGTAACTGGCAACCTGCTTAAGCTGTCAGCCAAGTGCAGGTCTCAGCTACACAAGAGCTCTTAGTCTCTGGGCTTAGACCACCGTAAATGGGGAGAAACCTTTTGGACTTTAATGACAGCAAGAGGGAGCCTTGCATGGCAAATTTGCAGTGGATGTAAATAAGAAAGAGTTTGAGATTGCATCAGCTCATTTCAGCTAGTAATCCAGTCACAGTTTAGGTCCCAGTTTCCAATAAAATCTGTGCTGGAAACCATAGGGCCATCTTGACTGACATGTGAAAGATTGCACTTGTTCTCTTGTTGAGGCAAAAGCCAGTACTCACTGCAAGAGTATCCTCATAGACATATCCATAGTAGGGAGTCCCAATGAACATGGGAGGGGTGTCCTGAACATCCTCCACATTGATAGTCACTGTTGTTGTGGCTGAGAACACTTTGTTGTCTCCCCTCAGCTTCCCACCACCATCCTAGAAGAGAAGTAGTCATCAGATCTCTCTGCTGAAACGTGTTGGCAAATCAGCTTATGGCACTGCGTGCACCTCATCAGCCTTCAGAAGCACAGTCCCTTCTCTGCACACACAGATTAATCCCTGTGCCCTATTCCTTTCTCTTTTCCATTTGTCCTGCTCCCTTTCTGATTAGGGAGGCAGCTTGTAGTGTCTCAAAAATAATTTCTTACATTAAAAATTGTTGTGCCAATATACACAGTCATACATGATCTTTTATCAACAACACAGGGACAGGGAATTCAAGGTGGTGGTTTGTTTTTTTTTCTTGTGAAAAAGAAATGCTAGAAACTGATGCAAAAAGTTAATGAGTAAGGCCTGCAGTTTTTCATCCACATATACCCTTTTCATGAAGACAAGACAATGCAAGTTAGTGCATTTCTAGGGGGAAATTAAACAGTGCACACGATCAAAATCATCTAGGGACTCTTGTGTGACAAAGCAACGAGGAGCTGGGCAGCCAAGAACTGTTAGATAGCCAGAGTGTACTGACAGTCTCTGGGGAGCTGACTACAACCAACTCTGTGCCACTGATACAGCCGAGCCAATTAGAAAGATGACTCACAGCTTCAGAAGCTTTTAACACCCTCAGTCTCAGAGCACCAGATGGAGGTCAGCAGTGATGCTGCTGTATAAGAGTGTGAAGTGTTCAGCATGTCTGCTGCACCACTTCTAAAAATTACATCTTTAAAAAAAAAAAAGATACACTCAGTTTTTCCTCCTCACTGCCTCAAAGGCAGCACTTAAGCCCCATTTTTCATAAAACACACAAAAAATGAAGTCCTCATAAGTAACAGCAAAATCATCCTCATCCCATCCATGTGTGACAGGTCCCCACAGGATCCTGAGACATTTTACTACTCAAACTTTCAATGCCTAATGAATCCTCAGCTGTGCCATGGGCACAGCACCGTTGAGAATGACAGTGGCAAGAAAGGATGTGCAGCAATGTTTGCAGGATTTGAATAAGCTCCTGCCACAGGCTGCAGAGAATCAAAAGAAAGAAAACAGCTACAGATATTTCCAGTAAAGAAGTCCAGCAGTTGTGCTGCAGTGGGTCCAGCTCTGCTCTGTGTCTTACTGTGGCTACTGGCACTGCCTGCCTGCCAGGGTTTTGCCCTTCTTGTGGTAGGGCCATGCCCTGGACAGCAGGAGGGAGCCCTGAGCTCCTGCATTCACCCAGAGGCTGATGCTTCTTGAAGCTGGGACGACATACCCCAACCCTTCACATCTAGGTGACGCTCAAAACGCAGAGGTGACTGTGCAGGGGGGCTCAGCAGCCTGGCACTGGGGCTTGAGTGAAATGTGGGAAGTCCACTCTCAAATGCTTCCAGAAACTGTTCAGCAGCAGACCCTGGTCATCTTCCCTCCCTCACATTTCCACGTTACCTTCCACCCCTCCAGATGTTAAAGAGGGTGATGTGCTGCCTCAGTGTTATGCTTCGTGTTTCAGCAATCTGAGTCACGCTTGTATTTCAGCTAATCAGCCCTGCTGAAATACAACCCCTCACCACCTCCTTCAGTTTCAGATAAAAGCTTTATACCTTGGCTACGACGACGACAAAATGTGTTCTTGATTTCTCATAGTCCAGGGTAACCCCCGTTTTGATGCGCAGGACACCACTGTGACGGTCTATTGTGAACTTATTAGCATGGATGTTCTAGAAGAAGAGATGAAACAGTCAGAGATTGCAGGTATGGAAATCATATTGCTGTAGGGATTCATCTTTTATTTCCTCTGCTATGGGAAAAGACCAGAATAATGACACGGTTTGGGTGAATAATGTATTTGATGAATTTCACCTCTGTGTGTTTATGAACAATTCATGAACCCACCACGAGTCTCTAATTATTCAGAATGTAGCAGTTCCTGGCAGTGTACATTTTTTAAATCTTTTAGTGTTTCATTGTGAAATCTTAAACTTTGGTTAAAACAGTTCATTGTATGGAAACAGGTTAGGGAGGCTTAACAGAAAAGAAGATTAGAGGAAAAGGAAGATGAAAAAAGTGTTATCTCTTAGTGTTTCAAAGTTCTGCTGGCTTAATAAAAAGCAGAAAATTTGAATGCATAGATTATTGTTACAAGAGTAGTGGTTTGGTGATCTTTTCTGACCTACAAATAAAACCTAAAAGACATCTGATTGCCCAAAGGGCTTAAAAAATGTCTCCCTCCATTCGTCTGGCCTGGAGATATCCATAAACACACCTCTATTTGGGTGTCCATACACAATGGCCATTGTTGGATAATTTTGGGGCTCTTCAGTAAAGGTCACTGCCTATGTCAGACTTTTGGAGAGGTTTCTTTTTTTCTGTGCAACTTGAGAGTTTCCAGAGACTGTGCCAAAAGACACAGCAACATTTTTTTCAACAAATACACATATTTAGCATCCTTTTTGCCCCACGAATATATCAACTAGACATAAAAATCTGAAATTGTTATACCTTGGCTTCATAGTCTATCAGCTTACTGGAAAAAGCCCTGCACAAAATTGAATCCTGTAGGTATTGTATTTTAAATGGATCATAACTGGTGAAGTCAAAACTAAATTTCAACAAGGCACTCAAGGTGTTCTTTCACAGTATGCCCAGACTCTCAACAGGATTAGCTTTAGTGCTATGGAAATATCTTGCAACTTGTTTCTATATTTGTATGCAATATAAACATGTATCCAATGTTGTATCCAAAGCTTCTTGAATAATAGGAACTACAGCTAATCTGGACAAAGCTGCTTGTAGGAAGGAGGAATTTGAGGGATACAATGCAAAAAAATCACCCTTTTGGCATGCTGGATTTCTGTAATACAGAAATTTGGCTTCAGATAGGCAGCCTTTTCTGTTCTTCACCATTAGGCAATAAGTGAGATGCCAAACTGGCATGGCTTTGTCAGTGAAAAGACTCAGTACCTCCTATTTCACACTGTGATCCAGGTTTGTTATGCAGCAGCCTGCTACACCCAAGCACATATTTGGGTTTCCAGTGCAGTTTGCTTTCTAAAGAAAGGTATTTCATGCTTTAGAAATCCCCTATGTACACAAGAGGGCAATTTAGGCTTGTTCTCCCTGCCACTGCAAAGCAAGGGCCAGCAAGAGCCCTGCTGTGAGGAGTCCTGCTGGCAAGCACAGGAGTGACAGTGGCAGCTCCAGCTCCTCCTGCTGCCTGCTGGACTGCTCTTGGCTGCTTGCAACTGGCCAATGTCCATTTTGTCAACGCTCATTTCCTTGTGCACAAATTTTGTCCTATGCCAGTAGCAGGCTCAACCCTCCAAATCCTTTTATAAACCTAATTTCTGGGATCTCAGTAAACGAGAGAGGATTTTTGAAGGTACAGGTAATACCTTACCTGCAAGAAGTAGGTAATGCTTCCTCCAGAACCCGTGTCTCTGTCCACTGCCTCAATCTTAAAGATACTGCTGCCAGAGGGACTGTTCTGTGACCAGAAAGAGTTGCCAGAAGTCACACAGAAGTGGAAAACCAGGTGATTTAGAAGAAATGAAAAATGAGCATGCAAGAAGGCAGAAAAAGAGAGTGATGGTAGAAAAAATATAAACACATTGATCTGTTTTAGCAGAGGACTTTAGAGCCCTAATAGCTCAATGGTTGGACTTGATGACCTTGGAGGGCCCTTCCAACCTAAATGATTCTATGATTCTATTGAGGGAACCAAAGAGCAGAGAGAAAAGAGAAAAGATTTAAAAAGGATGAAACTGGAGAACAAGAAGGAAGAAGCATTTTTGGGAATAAAAATGACAGAAAATATCAGCTAAAACAGAATGCAACCCATCCCCACTGAAGTCAATTCTGAAAGCTCTCAATGAGACACATTTTGGAGCTTACCCACAGAACAGAGCACCTTAGGTACCTACAGACTTATTCCCTAAGTTTGTAGTGAATGTTAAATATCTACCCAAACCCTAAACCAAAAGAATGGAAGTTAGTCCTGTACATCTAGTTACTTTACTGAAAACACACCAGCTTCTCTTTACATCCTATCAAAATATACTTTCTGTATGCAGATAAACTTCACCAACCTCTGGGACTTGGACTATATAAGGTGTATTGATGAACTCTGGGCTCTCATCATTAGCATCCATGACAAGGATTCTGACTTTTTCAGAAACCTGTAGTAAAATACAAAGAAAATATTGTAAGTCAAGCTGACTTTCAACGTGTAACTGTTCATTCATCTCCTGAGGTGTAGTCAAAGGCCATGAAACATTATGTTGTAACAGAACATCTCTGCACTACCAAAACAGAACATGTAAAAGAAAGCACAGAAAAGCCCATAATCCAGAATTTGCTTTGTAGAGAACACCCAGGTACCTCCACACTACATAAGGAGTCTGAGTACTTAAGAAATTACAGATTTGGGCTGATTTTCAAAAGTCTGTCTTTATTGCATTCAAGATACTATGATGTATTTTATGAGAAAACATTAAAGACTGTAAAAATTGGTATCTGACAGCCAAAAGCCTTCCTTAATGCCTCATTTGATATCATGATACTAGGTTAACAGCATGCATAATTTGGATGTACAAATACATGCCACTTATAGGTAACAATCTATATTGAACAAAATGTGTGTTCTTGTTCTAAAAATACAGAAGCAAACATATCTGACCAACCAAATTTCCCAGCTGTTTGCAAGTGGATATGTGGATGCAATCCTATTATTTCCTATCTGAGAGAGGTTGCCAGGGCAGCTGTGTCTGTAGGATGCTGGCACCTTCCAAACATTTGTTGTAGTAATCTTAATCTGTCTGAGATGAGTAAGAGCTCTAGAGTTACCCAGTCTTGTGGATAGTAAGATGGTCCCAATTTTGTGGCACCTGCAGTGATGAAGCCCAGGTCCTTTTATTGGCAGACTGACATTCTGGCTGTGACAGCATCTGTCCCTAAACTGAAAATGCCAAGGGAATTTGTAGCACTAGGACTGGATGCTTGAGCAAAGCCTCAGGTAAGTCCTTAGTGATTAGATGTGGCCAAAGCTCTGTTCAGCAGCAGAGAAAAAAAACCCATGCCCCCTTAGCCTAAGCAAATCTTCTTAGTGTCATGCCAGAGAAACATTGTGGGAGTGGAGTCACAGTCAGCTCTTGAGTGCACAACAGTGGTTATTCTAATGTCATGTATTTCTCCAAAAAAACCTCCAGATCTTTCTCAGGTATCCATCCTACTGAGCTGACAGTGAGTCTTCACAGGAAGCTGTTGTAATTCTGCAGGCCACTATCAGTCTTTCATCTCAATCTACATTGCAGTTATCCTCAAAGGGCTGAGCAAGGGGCTGGAGTGAGACTTGAGTGATCAGGAGCTGAGTGGCTCTTGAAACAGGAGATAAGACTCTAATGAGATTTTATGTTTTCTCATAGGATGACATAGTTGCTGTAAGGTACCTGATAGTACATGTAAAGTGTATGGGGACAGACAGTTTAACAAGATACAGCATAATTAACTACTTACTGTACTCAGGCCATCTGAGATACTGACAATAACTTCAACCTCATCTTCCTTCTGTAAACCAAGAAAATTCCTTTGTTAGAGAGATGATGTTTGCCACTGGGAAAAGGGACTGCAGGTTTAAAAGTATCTCAGCAGGCAGATGAAAGTAACAATTAGCACCACAAGGCAATCACAGCAGAGGTTAGCCCCAGAGACTCCAGTCTGTGAGGCTCCTTGGACTTTCTGTGGCTGCTGTCAAGAGATGGTTGGTCTGGGAATCCCTGTTGTCCTGTAAAGTGCTTAGCAAAAACCAGTTGTCTTTTTCAAGAAACACTCCCTAAAAAGGCACGATTGGTTCAGAATTCTTCTCAGGATACAGTATTTTGAAGGGTTTACTAAGTACTGCATACCCTTCCCTGTGAAGGACAATATGAAGTGTTCAACATCTGTGTTCCCAGAATAAGGCTGCCTTCAGGCCACTGCTGCTGGGAACACCTTTAACCCACATGGCTAGGTGGGCTAAAGGGCTGTGATGTAACTAGAGAAGCATCTTGGAGCACTGCTTACACAAACTGTACTGCCTCCTGATGACAGGGGAGTCCTCTGTCTGAGGGCTAGTGGACTGCAACAGCCCCTAAGCTCTTCATGAGGTGCAGGTGGGAGAAGATAGGAGTAAAGAGTAAACTTCTCTTTTGGCAAAAGCCAAATAGACAACTGCTGAAAAATTTAATAGCTGTTCCAGTGGCACAAGCCGACTGGAAAATAACATGATGGGTGAAGTGTAATGTAATATACTTTTCAGTTCTAAGCCATGTTCCAGTGGCAAATAACTTGGCATAGTCCCTCAAAGCCACAGGTGAAATGAAACTGAAGGCACTTCCACAGACTCATGGAATGGTGCCATTCCACTGTACCTCTCTGTCAAGCTCCTCGATCAGCGTAACGTTTCCAAGGTTCTGGTCAACAGAAAAGTAACGTCTTGATCCAGCTTCATAGGCCAGGCCATAAGTCACAGGATCTCCTTCTGGATCAGTCCCATTCAGAGTGTACACATGGGTACCTGAAAAAATTGCCATTCAACAGCATTCCCCTGTGGTTACTTCAGTCACTGAATACGTCACTGGTCTGTTCCTTAGGAACTTAGACACCCTGTAGCAGACAGCTTTTGTGAATCAATTCCATTCACCAGGAGATATGGATAGGTAGACAAGTTCAATAATCCTGACTGCAAACTTCTAACTTACTCTTTAAACCCAGCTGATCAGTGCTGGTTTCTCTCACTTTAGGCCCTTTCCTGTGCAACTGCACCTAGATGGATGCTGCTCACCTCATAGTGTTGACATAGGTGACAAGCTCTTCACTAACTCTCAGCCCAGGTGAGCCAGAAGTGATGCTGCTGTATGACTGGTGACAACCCCAAAAGCACCAAAGAGGCTCTCACACCCCCTTTCTACAGGGGAACAAGCAAACTGCAAACTAGGAGGCAGAGGAGAAGGGCAACTGAAGGCAGTGCTGCCACAGGGCTGGATCCAGGCTCTGATGTTCAGGAGATGCAAGGACATTTGCAGACTTTTCTGCTTTCAGAATTAATAGATGCAAAAGTCTCCTTTCCCACTTCACACCCCCTCATTCACTCCCTCTCATTAAATTCTTTACTTAAGACACTCGCTCATGCTCATACTAGTGAATAAATTCTCAAAACTCATCAATGTATTTCTTTCGCAAGCTGGGGAAAGAGAAATTGTTATTTCTATTTTTAAACATTTGATAATTTGGTGCCAGTTTTTCCTGTAAACTGACTTTGTTTGTGAGAACTGCTACTTCCTGGAGGAGTTATAACACCCACGTTTTCAAAACATGGTAAGGGTTTATTAGCATTTCCTTTTTAAGGCTCACATGGTCTGCCATTCTACTGAGTATCTCCATCCAAATAACTTCAAGCACTTAAATATCAGCTAACTGAGCCCGAAATATAAAACACTGTTGTTGTTTCCTTCCAAGCTGCTGTGCCTCAGGTAAGATACCTGAGCTATTCAGGTTGCAGAAATTCAGAACAAAAGTTCTGTTCTGCATCTAATAAAGTTCTCTGCACTGGGAATAACTGCAGCCCAGTGACATCAGCAGTGGCATTCAGAAAACAGGACTGTCTTCTTTGCATAGCAAGAGATTATACTGAGCCATGTGGGATCTGTGCTTACGTATGAGTAAACTCTCTTATGATAATTACCAAGGCAAATTTTGGCCAATTTTGTACAGAAAAACATTCCCATTGCAAAAAGCCATGGGACCATAGCAGAAGAACCAGCAGACCCTGCTATGGGCTGGCTCAGCCAGCCAACAAATGATCAAGGTTTTCAAAACAGGTTGATAAAACTACAAAACCCTTTCTAAATCTTCTTGGACTTTTCCCACAAAACAGAGCAGAGAATAACAACTGATCTGTAATTGAGATCCTCAGAAACTAGGAGGGAAAGACAACGAGTGTGATGAGACACTTCTCTGACTGTAAAAACTGAACTGTAGAAGTACAAAGATATATAAGGAGGGGAATAGAGTGGACCCAGTACAGAATAATGTCCTGAAAGTTCACCAGCCTCCTGATACAGCTGTCTACACAGGAGATAGAAACTTCCAAGCTTGTTGCAGGTTCTGAAGCATCAGCACTGACTGCATTTATTTTTGTTCCTCAAAAGCTTAGCTAGAGCTAATGTCTCCTACATTTTCTGGGAATTTTCGTACAAGAAAAATAGGAATTTCCTTGCTAAATTTGCTGCTAAATGTTAAAAGGAACATTGATATTGGTTCAGACAGATTACTGAGGTTTCTGAGCAAGTAATGAAGGACATCATTGATCTTTACACTGTACTGTTTGCTTCCTAGCTAAAGCTGATACTTCATTTTTCATAATCCAGGACTCTTGTGTGCCTTTTAAATTGGATTGTGGATCAAAATTTCTTCTCTAGCTCATTATAATTCCTGATTTTGTCTGAATTGTAATTTCATTGCACAATACTCTCCATATCATTAACACCCTGGGAACACTTCTCAGCACAGTGTTAATGCCAATTAAAAATCTCCTCTCCACGTGCTGCCTCCACTTGCTGCAAAGGAAATAAATGGGAAAAAAGAACAGCTGAAATCTTTTCAGTAAGTCCCAAGCAAACAGCCTCTCTGTGTCAGAAAGATAAGGCAACAGGAGTCTTCACCCAGGGAACATGGCAAATGCTGTGCAAGTGCCCCAGCTAGGGGATGGCACAGCAGGCTGGGGCAGGGAAGTCCTGGGGAGCTGCACACTGCTCCCCAGGAGCCACACCACTCTCTTTTCCTATGCCACCTTAAAAGGAATTTGCTCTCTGCTCCTGCCACCCAGGCTGAAGGGCTGTCCTGTGATGCCATTGCACTGTTTTATTTCATTTCTGAGTTAACTTCACTCCTGGGCAGCCTCTGTGTACGTGCTGTGGGGCTGGTGTTGCCCTCTCACTGAGGGCACTCTCTCCCTCTCTGCTGTGCAACACTCAGCAGTCAAACCCTCTCCCTGCCAAGTTCAACAAGCCAAGCACAGTCTGGACTCATGATCAGAGTGCCTGTTGTCCTCTGCCACCACAGCTGACATCTGTTAAGAAGATGCTGAGAGGGACAGCCATGGCCCTGCTCCCAGGACAGGACATCTCTGTTCCCAGTGTCACAGCAACACCGTCCTGCCCAGAGTTCTGTGCCTGCTCTCCACCCATCTCAGCCAAAGGCACATTTAGAATCCTAGAATCCTTTAGGTTGGAAGGGACCTCCAAGATCATCAAGTCCAACCCTTGAGCCATTAGGGCTCTAAAGTCCTCTGCTCAAACAGATCAGAATCTGTCAGGGTTGGAAGGGACCACAAGGATCCCCCAGTTCCAACCCCTCTGCCATGAGCAGGGACACCTCCCACTAGATCAGGCTGCCCAGAGCCTCCTCCAGCCTGGCCTTAAAGACCCCCAGGGATGGGGCCTCAACCCCCTCCCTGGGCAACCACCAGGAAAGGTGATGGGATAGCTAACACTAACCACAGATGGCTGTTTTAATTTCCAGGCTCACCCCAAGCAAAGGGCAGCTCAGGCTCCTGGAGGACACAGACCACACATCAAGACTACACCAAAACTAGCTCCTTTCCCCTCGCTACAGCTGCTGCTCCTTCCTGAGCACCTGGGTGACTCCTGCTCCCTCCCTGCCACACACCCCACTGCACGGGCTGGCCAAGCAGAAACCTGGCCAGGATCAGCAGGCCAAAACCCACAGCTACCACAGCAGCCTGCAGCTGCAAGTGCCTGTGCTGGGGCCAGGGGGAATGGTGGCAAGCAGTCAGTAATCAGTCAGCACGGGGGCTGAAACACCACCAGTACCAGTACCCGGGGTGGAGACAGCAGTACTCTGTCCCTGTGGCACTCACAGCAACCAGCTCCAAGGAGCAGCCATCTGAGGGCAGTTTCTTGCAGTTTCTGGTAGGAGAATAAGCCAAGAAGGGCAAGCTGTGACACCCGTGAGCCCTCAGTGCACGGCTGCAGTGCTCTGCTCTGTGCAGCTGCAAGCTCTGCTGCAGGGATGCAGAAGCCAGGCTGTTTAACACATTTGTTCTGGTAGCTCCTAGCTTTTGTAGGGGAGAGAATTTTAGTTTCTACCAAAAAAAAATGAATATTTTTGTACCTTCAAAAATTTAGCCCTTCTGGAATTATCTAAATGTGAGGGCTTGGTCGGTCTCAAGATTTCAAACACAGCTAAATCATCCATGTCTGTGTCCTTTCTAGTCAAAAAGGAATTATCATTTTACAAAGAATTCTATTAATTCTTTCACTCAGTTAGTTTTTGTGACAAAGAAGGCTGGAAATCAATTGTGGGAAAAAAAACCCACACCCTTGCAGGCTCAGCTACTATGTTTGTGATGGATGAAATATAGAAACACATTCAGAGAGACAGTGGAATCCCAGGGTGAGATGAGTGAGCACTGGAGGAAGGGCCTGGAAACAAAGCAGGGACTTTCATCAGTTTGGGAAGCATCAACTGGACCAGGGGGAGAGAAACAGGGAAGGAAGGGTGGGTGTCAGAGGGGACAAGAGGGGTCTCCACAGTCAGCTGTGAACTATGGGAAGAAATTGAACCATGTAGGAAGAGCAGGGGAAGCTTGAAGGATGGAGGGTCCTGGAGTGGTCAGTCAGCCTGTGGTAGGTACCTGGCAGCTGTAGCTTTGATCAAAGAACTGCCACCCCAAACTGGCTTTGAACAGAGGGGGAAATGCCTACCTGGGGGCATGGGAAACACCAGGAAGGAAAAACACAAGGATGAGAAGCATGCAAAGATCTCCAGAACACTGATGATGCTTTGGCTTTGAGAGAGTCATGAATTTAAGCCTTCTGCCTGTGCTTCAATCCCTAGCTCTGCAGCTGTTCTCAGTCCCCCTCCATCCCCATTATGAGGGCTTACAGGGATTAATAAGGTAAGATGAAACAAACAACCAGAAATAGCATCCTACACATGCCTTAAGACCTTGATCAGGAGCACACGTACACTTTGTGTGTACACAGGCAAAGAGCCTCTCACCCACCTGCCCTGCCAAAGAGCCACACAAGCTGCCAATGCTGTTTTGGTTCATAACTTTCCCCATTCTTCTTTAATCTAGCACTGGAAGGGGCTAATGTTCTGGCCCTTCTTAGCTTGGAGGGTCTCATGCTCTGCAGCAATAAAGGGATCTAGGAATCTGCAGACAATTTCAAGCTTTCATACAGAAATAGTATTTGCTGGTTTTATGATAACTTATGTCATAGCATATGTAACAACTCTCTGTAAGTAAGCAAAATGGCATAAGGAAGAAGAAGGTCAAGTTAAGGATGATACGAGCACGATAATGTGATTTTCTTCAATGTGATATGTTCCTGCAGCTGCAGCATTGCAATTTCTCTTCCTATTGTCATACAGAGGCACCATCTGCTCCTTTTGGAGCTCAAAAACGTTGCATGCCCCTTGCTGACGGATGCCTGGGAATATAACTAACACACTACTTTGCCAACTTCTTGCAATCTCAGCAGGGCCAAAGGTTGTAAAATATCTGGAGGTTCATTTAAGGCTGCTGTCCATGACATGGCTCATACCAGACACTGGCTACTGCCAAGAAAAGCATCTTACCTAGAACTCCAAATTTTATGGAAGCATAGGGAAGACCTAATGGCAAGCTGCTCATTTTTGCACCACCTAAGCCTGAGTGAAGACATCCAGAACCAAACACATGGAAGTTTTAATTCCCCTGTTTTGTCACTGATTGTCCTGCTCAAACTGAAAGACAACTGTTAGGGTGTAGATGCTTGGGACAGCACACAGACACAGGAGACTAGATTCCTCCTTCTTTTGGAGGAGATTGGGGCAGAGGAATGAGGAGTAATAGTCTCCTCTGTGGTGTGAGACCTGACACTGAGGCCACAGAAAAGGGCCAGCCTGGTAGCCACTTAGTGTGTGAACCCTCACTGAGCTATGGCATGAGGCTCTGACTGGGGTCTGAAGTAAATGCTGGTCCTCTTGCTCTGTGCAAAGCTGAATGCACACCCAGCACTGCAGCACCCAAGTGCTGCTGTCATTGGTGCCCTCCTTGCCCAAGCATCCCCAGGAGTGGCCGTGCTGATGTGGGTGGTGGTAGCAACAGCAGTCTGCACTGAGCAAACCCCAAACAGCCACATGCCAAGGGAACTTCCTAAAGTGCTTTCAGAAGAGATGACCCTGCAATACTCACAGCTTTTAGCCAAGGTGTTCTGGGAATTAGCCCAAAGCAGCACTGGCAACTGTGTGGCAAAACAACCACATTTGGACTTCTCAAAAGTAAGGTCTTGTGTCCCTTTCCCAAGGGTTTCTGTAGGCCCCTTGCAAAAGCCTAAACACTTCCTAACCTTTCACCTCAGAGAAATGCTTTTGGTGGCACCTGTAGACCTTTAAGCCAGAAGCTGCCTCTTTTCTGCCTTTTAAAGCACATTTAAACAGCAAATTAGAAGTACAAGCTAGCCAATGTAAACAAGTAAGCCCATTCTGGATGAAGCCAGCAGGCATGAGGCACAGCAGCACTTAAGACAGAGCAGCTTGAGCTTTACCACTGCTGCAGCCAAAGCATAAGCTCTCCAGGGACCTCTCTGTACACCAACAATCCCATATCACATCATTTATTTGTCATTGTTCACACTCAGGCTAGTTAGGAGGACGCTAGCACAGGCTCTGATCCCCCACACCCCTGTTCTGCTGTTAAAGCACACACACTCTTCTTTTCTGCCTGGAGCCCCAGATGCAGCCAGTGCTGGAGAATTGCTGCTGTGCTTTGGTGCTGCAGGGAGAGGGTCAGCTGAGAGACCATGTGGTGCTGCTGTCCTGGCAGGAGGGACGTTTTTGGCTGTGTTGAAGCTCTGTGCCATGTTCAGCACCCCACCCCTGTGTGGGTGGCTGGGGCTCCCAGCAGTGGCAGATGCTCTGTAAATGTCTGCAAGCTGGCACCACACCAAGGGATGGGATGGGATGGGATGGGATGGGATGGGATGGGATGGGATGGCAAGGGAGCTGTACTGCCCACGGTGTGAGTGGTGGAGCTGGCACACATCACCCCAAGCAGCCTGAGTCAGGGTTCCACTCTGTGGCTATCTGGCACTACAAGCGCATCCGGAGTCAGGGTTCCACTCTGTGGCTATCTGGCACTACAAGCCTTATCTACACTCCTAGGCAAGTGGTTCCACCAGCTAATCCAACTCCAGGAATCAGCAGAGCTGTCTGGATGGCCAAGGCTGAGCACGTGTGGTTTCTGTATCCACTTGGGCAGAAGCACAGCAAAAATCACAGCTCCTTGGTCTGCCTCTGGCTTTTGCAAGTGCCACTACATTACTGCTGGCCTTCAGCTGAGGTTTCCACTTAAGCTTGATGGAGCTTATAGCAGATCCCTGGTGCATCATAAGCGTGCTCTTAAGTTCATCGGCTAGATGCGTCAGCTTCTACGCTATGAGCTGCCTCTCCCCCCCTGCCTCCTCTCTGGTGGGGCAGGCAAAGGAGAAATCACTGCTCCCCCATCACCCTTTCCTCACCCCCTAGGATGTCCAGTGTGGATCCCAGCTGGCATGAACCCCCTTGGGCCAGAAATGTAGATTATGAGCAACACTCAGGAAGCTGCTTCCCAAGGCAGAGAGCGACCCTGGTCCTGTTTAGGAAAGCCAAGGTGGTTTTCCAGAGGAGGCTGTGCCCTCTGCATCCTTCCCTCAGCCCTGGGGGGGGAGGGTTTTGGGTGCACCCCTCCATGCAGCCACCTCTCCCCCCTATGCGTTAAGCAACTCATAAAGGGTTGCTCTGGTACCCAATTTGCAATAGCTAAATACTTTTCTGATTTAGCCTGGAAAAGATACAAACAGCAACAAATCCACAACAAAACCTCAGCACAATGTTTGAAGCTAAGCTGGTGTTCATCACCATAGTGTCTTCTGCATGAAATTTTTTAGATGTTAGGAAATTATTCTTCCCATGGAAAATACTGTTTATAAATCACCTCTCATTATTTTTTCTTAATTAAACTACAATTAAAAGAAGCATAAACAGACTTGCCTCAAAAGGCTGAAAACTAAGAAATGTATCAATTTTCAATAAAACAAAACTAAACCTTTTTTAAAAAGCATCAGTTATTTAGGCAAAGCAATTTTCATTCCAAGTAGAAACATTTTCTACTGTGCTGTAAACATGAAAAATGTGATAGGTGTTTAAAGAAAACCACGCCTCTGTTACTTTTTGGGTTGCACTTACTATGATAAAATTACTAGCAACTAGACTTTCATCTCAAAAGCTTTTACAGACTTGGCAAGAAGTTGCTCACTACCATGAATTTATTTCTCACACCAAAGGTCTGTGCTCTGGTGCTGTGAACAGATTGGTGGACCAAGAAAAAGTGAGCTAAAATTCATGTTTTCAATTACAGCTACAATTCAACCATGTCATTTTAAATTGAGGTCAATTAAAAGCTTGAGAAAAAAACACATGTAGACCACAGTATATAACAACAACTGACATCAAAATACACGTTGCTAATGCAAAGAGCAGGCAGCTCCCATTTCACAGTTTCAATATTAATACTGACCAATAGGTGTGTCCTCCGAAAGGCTGAGAAGTGCCATGTTCCCGTTTGTGCTTCTGGCTCCATTATCAAAGAAATAGGGGGCATAATTTGCCTGAACTGCAATTAAAACAAAACAAAAGCCGAAGAAAAGCGTTTTGTAGGTGGCAGTTATTTGGCTTTGCTACCTGACTCTGAGTAAACACGAGCTGATGGGGGAGTGCTGAGTGTAACAAACCCACTGGCTGCCACAGACTTGCAGAATTACATCTGTACAGATATTTTTAAATAAAATTACTTCTACATGCCACCCTGCCAGTATTTACACAGCAGCAAATAAAGAGAGTATATAGAAAAAGCTCAAAACCAACAGAAACAAAACAAGTGGCAGGATCTCTCTAAAAAAAACTCAATCAGTTCCAGACAGCTTCATTGCAAAATTAACCTTCTCAGCTTGCAATGACTCTATGCTGCTCCCCTGCTCCACACTTGCAAGTTTGAAACCTTCCCAATGCCTCAGTTCCTCACCCAGTATTCTAAGCACATTCTGCCTTAAAATTATGCCTACTGCATGAGCAATTAGCCATAATTAAATCGTTACTTACTTGCTGCCAGACAACAGCAAAGTTTAAAACAAAAAAGAAACAAAACAAAAACAACAAATTAGTTCTCATCCTTCTGACTGACCGTTAGAGAATCAAAACAGCCCATTTGAAACAAAACTCAGAATACATAAACACAGAGTGTAACATTTGCACAGGGATCAGTTGCCAAGGGAAATATTTCGAGACAACATCACCACGTCAGTAAGGATTACTACAGGATTTAAGGTTATGCTTGTATCCTCCTGTATTTTTACTTAACAAAGTGATTATGGTACTCACCCAGGCAAACGTGCACTAAACTGAGAAATAAGGAGGGGGTGAGGTGCCTTACATGCTTCATCCCACTGGAGAAAGGGACAAATTCTTCTCTGTTTCAAGGGCTTGTTTGGTGGGTTTCTTGTCCTCTCTGAAAGGTCCAGGAAAGTGTCCTTCAGACTGATGCAGTGGAGAAATGTGCAAGAGGCAGTAACAGATGCTAAGATGTTAAGCGGATGACACGTCTTAATTTCTGAGGAATTTAAAGAAGCTCCTTCCTACCACCTAATTAGACCAATTACTTTGCAGGGAGCTGTGGGACTAATTTCTGAGACAAGATTTGGCAGAATTGGTGTAACTCTCATAGGTTCTGCTGTTAGTACTGTAGTTGTGCTGTTCAAACACAAAAATCAGAGAGAAGGTAAAGTAGAAAGGTGTTTTCTTTCTGAGCTGTCTTTAATTCTCTAAGCTAGTCCCCTGTTTTTGAGAGCTAAAAGAGGTTTCTCTTTATTTTAGCTCTGATAATCTTGAGAAACTACAAAGGAAGAAAAATGTAACGTTAGCAACAAACAGTAAACATGATTGCTACTGTTGTAAAGGAAACAAATCACATTTATGATGGCAAAAGATATACCAAATTGCAACCTAAAAATGCAAGTCAAAATGTTCTTTTCATGAAACGGCCTGATCATTTAATTCTTAAACTGCATGAATTTCTGAAAGCATCTTTTACATTCAGCAGGTAATTTCTAGACAATATACTAAAAAGTGTGTTTCATCTTCAATCCATAGAAGAAGGTAACAAAGTCCTTTTTTTCATTTCTTGTTTTGATGTTCTGCACCCAAAAGGTGCTTGCAGTAATTTAAAATATACATCACCCAATAAATGATACAGTTTAAAAAACCAGTCGCTCTGGGAAGTTGTTCACAGAGGAAGCTTTTGGCTGCTTAAAAGGGACTTCATCAGTGGCAATACTCAGCTAGGAATCAAGGAGATGTTTACATAGAGGCTTAGCTGTTGAAACTTGACCCGAGCCAAAGCACTTGCCCTTTAAGGACGTGTTAATGGAGTTTTCTGTGTTTAAATTAACAGCTGGCGTGAAATAAACGTCTAAGAAATTAATCAGTCAAAGAGTTCTCCACTGCAAGGCTTTAAAACGTGCCAGAGGCTACACTTTCTTCCTGGCAGAGACCTTGCAGGCTAGTGCCAGGGGTGCAGCTGGCAGCACCCTGGAAGCTCCTGCTCTTTCCGTGTATTTTTCCTGCAGAGGGAGATGGCAGTGAAATCCTGCCACACTTTTACAGCATACTTTACCCATCAGCTGCTGAAACCACAGCGTGAGCGAGTGATGGAGGTGGCTGAGGGAGAGAAGTCTTCACTGCAGGGGCAGTGCTGTGATGCTCCTGTGCTGCAGGCTGGGCACTGCTGCATCTTCAGGTTGTCCTGGCAGGACACCTCTGCCTGCAGAACACATCAGCTGTAAGGCTCCCAAAAAGGTCGAGGTAAAACTCTTGTGCACAAGAGTAACAAAATTCACCATCCGTCACGGGAGGATGAGAACAAAAGCCTAAAAAGGCTCCAAATTGGATGACACAGATTAATGAACACCAGGTTCATCAGTGACTAGCAAATGTGATGATACAGATGCAAACCCTGGCTCAGTAAGGCACTAAATTACCAGCTACCAGAAGCTCTAAAGTTAAAGCAGGGGAAGGCTCTTTGTCATCTTGATCTCTTTTCTAACCTTCTCCTACAGACCTTCAGTGAGACTCTGTCCAACTATTCTTGTTCAAGGGTGTTTGCAGAGGCTCCATGTGGAACCAATGTGTGACTTCAGCGGTGGCCTGTAAAGCTCAGGGGACCCTGCAGCAGGCAACTAAGAAAAACAAATGTATTTTTAGTGCATTTAAAGTCACAATTTGGAGATATGAAGCCTAAAATTGTGTGGGAGGGGGTACACCTATAGAAGACAGATCCCTGTTACGGATTTAACCATGACACCACTGTCAACAGCAATATTAAATCACTGATAAAATCACAGAAATTCACCTGCATGGTGCCCAAAAGGAAACATAAATAGCACCTAAATGTCCTCACCTGCCTCCTCAATCCAAAACTAACATCACAGTTTTTTTCTGCAGAGTATTTTCCTAGAAAAAGTGATGGAGAGCTCTTGTCAAAGTTAATAGCTGGCTGTTCCCCTGGTTGCATCCCCTGGGGATCTGAATCTCTAGGGCCTACATCTCCAAGGAAGCAGTGCCTCACTCCTCCTGAATTTTAATGAGTTTGAGCTCTTAATCCCCTTAGAGTTCGAAAACCTGGCTAATATGTGTCTATGCACACTCAGATACACACCTAACACAGCAACACTGACAGAATATGTTTTTCCTGACAGAAAATATGCTTGGATCAAAGCTAACACAGCTCATGGAGCCAGGCTGATTTTGATGAATTTTTATCTTGTGAAGAAAAGGGGCAGGAGGGGGTTTCAGGAGAGCAATATATTCTCTCCCAACAATTTTAGAAATAGAAGGATCCCTCTCCTTATGTAGAAGAAACTTTATATTTCATCTATCTCTAACATATCAAGTAGCAAGAAATACAAAAGAAGAATGAAAAATACCTCTGTAATCTGAACTAATTTATTTCACTGGGTGTTCCATTTGTTCACTATTCAGGATGAAAACCAATCTAGAGAGATCAAACATTTTCAGAATAAGAGTTCTGGGTTTGGGTCACTGATCAGCAATATCTGCTAGTTTGTTAGCCAACCTGAATGTGTATAAAATAAAAGTTTCAATGTTGCCATGCACTACAATAATGCAATCACTGTTTTGGAAGGCTTCAGCCCTTGTGACCACAGCCTGGGTGTGCTGCTCCTGGGGTGGTGTGGTTGTAACTGCTGCTCTGTGCATCATGAAGGCCCCTGGGATGCTCTGAAGCATGGAGGCTTCTCTTCCCCCAGCACAAACCTCTACTCTACACCAAACCCAGAACCTTCCAGGGCACAGGGGCCAGATGTAAAACTAACCACACACAAACTTCTGCCAGCTCCTGCCCTGTTATCTTTCTGAGCCTTCAAGAATCTTGGAAAATCCTGGATCCAAACACGTTTACTTTTCTTAGCTCTAAACACCAATCTAAGCATAGGGCTAGAAGTCTTCCTTAACCAAGCACAGCTGACAAGAACTGGGCTTCCACCAGTACTGAGAGCTGCCCCTCCCCTGTTCCCACATCCCTGAAGATGGGAATTCAGGGCCTCCCCAAGGCAGCCGTTCTTGAGCTCAGCCTCACAGCTCAACATGAAACGGAGGCCAGACCACAAACGGTGGCAGATGCCAACGCTAGAACAGCAGATAAAATGCCACAAGATCCCAGAGTGCAGCAAAACCACCACGAGCTCAGGGTTTCCCCTCTTGGGGGGGGTGGGAGGAAGACTGTTTCCAGCCCCTCTCAGTCACTCACTGCCACCCACACCAGCAGCCCGAGCAGAGAGGCTGAGCTGGCACAGAAATAAATTACTCTTTCCACACTGTGGCTGGCCCTTCCACCTCAGGGCAATCACATTAGAGCTGCCTACCTGGGGAATGCCTGCTTGGCATATAAATGTGAGGTTTTCATGAGTTGCATTTCAATCAGGTTTCGGATGCTTACATGCCTTCCCGTTCTAAAAATTAGAGAGAAAAAGAAAATTAAAGAAATAGCAGAGAAAATGATCTGCCACTGGCCTGCTTTGCTTTACATAACTATGTACAGTCTTCAGATTTTATGCCTGCTTCCATCTGAGTTAAAAACCCTTCTGTTCTGGATTCTGGACAGTATTGATAAGTAATGATGTTCACATTTATATAGCTACATATAGAGCTCAAGCTACTCTTTTTTTCCTATGGTCGTTCTCCAATTCTGGGTGCATATAGGATTAAGTACTACCTTGGAGAGGAATATTCAGCATTTTTTGTGTGTGCATTGGTGTGTGTAAATAAATTCAAAAGCACTACACAGTTTATGTAAACCTCAGCATGTGCAGAAAGAGCCCAATTTACACTCTGGCCTTCCCCCTTTAAATCACAGGCTAAGAGGGGGTGTGGGAGTTACCACTGATACCTGGAGGCATTCTACACAGGGGGATTCACTCAGAATTGCTTGATGGAAACAGCCACACCAGAGGGAGGTGAAGCCTCAGCCATTTTCAAGACCCTTCTCAAAACTCTCCCTGTTCCTACATCTTCAAATTTGACAGGGAAGTTATTTAGCTCTGAAAGCAAATGAAGGGGAGCAGAGTGGGCCTGCAACAGGTAAGACAGACACCCTAACAGCCCCAGGTTTGACACAGCTGTAACCACAGCTGGGCTGTTCCTTGCACATTGATGCTCAGTTCACCAGCAAATCCTGCAGCACAGTATGAGCAAGAATTGTCCAAGCTCTTCCCCAAACATCTTAACACCAGCAGTGCATGCTAAGGTAAGGTAAATGTAACAAACACACTCGTTGCTTGAATGTTGGCTCTCTGGCTGGGACCTCAAGGGGGTCACAGAGCTCTTTGTTTCAGCACAGATGAGTTAGTATAAACAGAGAGTCATGACAAAGATAAAAGTGCAGTTCCCACCACAAACAAAATGCAATGCAACACACTTGGCTGTGCAAACCACATCATTCCTCCCCCTCAAAATCTCCTCTTAAAGGACAGAGAAATTCTTGATGCTGGGGCACATCATCACTCTCCACCAACTTCCATTACTACAGACTGCAAATGATGGTGAAAATCCAGGAACAATTGTTGATGGCCATTTCAGAAGACTGATTTTGGTGGTGAAGAATTTTACACGAGCTGTCCTTTGCATTTTCCTAGCACAGCACCATATCTTCTGTTTGACTGCTGAGGAAAACTCTGAGAAGTGCTGGGGGATCCACAGGAACCTGAAGCAGGCTGGTGGCAGGAGAAAAGAACAAAAAGTCCCTCAGTCCCTTGACTGAGGTGCAGCAATGCCTCAGTCCCTTCACTGTTCCTCACTATCTCTGTTTTGAATTACCAGTTCTAAGAGGGAAGCACTCACAATACCATTGCACAGTAGATCAGCAAAAGAAACAGCCTGTGATTTTGGTGGTTAAATCTATCAGAGATGCATGCTTGAGTCCTTGGCCATGATCACTAAACTCTGATCCTCCTTACTGCCAGAACAAATATGCCACCTCCTATATAA